GCAGTTCTTGCAGTTCTCTGAGGCATTGCCTCGTCTACCACTTTTTTAATAAGCCTCCTTCCGAAGAAGGAAACAATACGTATTGTTGATCTAATTCCCCTGCCAAGCTGCTACGCCTCCAAACTCTCATCTTTTCGTCCATCGACAGCAGCATGAGAAGTATTTACTGAAGCCTCTTACATCTCCGTTAATCGATACATCAACACTACGAATAGACGCTATTCAATATGGCGACTCCGCCAGAGAAAGCGACAACAGAGGCCCAGCACGCCGACAAGGGCATCGACGTCGCCGACAAGGTCGAGCATAGCAGCGAACACCATTCAGAAGATGTCATATCTGAAAAGACCAAGGATCACCATGAGTCACATGACTTCCACTTGGACACGGCGGACGCGTTGACGCCGGATCGTGGCACCGAGGACATGTTCAAGCCCAAGAATGACAAGTTCGCCTTTTCTCCTGGCCAGCTCTCCAAGCTTTTGAATCCAAAGAGTCTAAACGCATTCTATGCATTGGGTGGTCTAGCTGGCTTGGAAAAGGGCCTTCGAACGAATCGGAAGACGGGTCTGAGTGTCGACGAAGATCGCCTGGATGGCACAGTTTCCTTCGAAGAGGCTGCCACCAAAGGAGCCCCCAAGTATGGTGCAGCTGGCAATAATGTGCCCGAAAAGGATCCCAACTCAAAAGGAGACGACTTTATCCCCCCTCCGCCAAGCGAGTATACCGGTGGTTTCTCGGACCGGAAAGTCGCTTTCAGAGACAACCAGCTGCCAGACAAGAAGCAGACATCGTTCCTGCAGTTTGTTTGGATCGCTTACAACGACAAAATTCTGATTTTGCTAACCGCTGCTGCTATCATATCCCTCTCTCTTGGCTTCTACGAATCATACGGCCCGACCCACAAGGAGGGTGAGCCACGCGTTGACTGGGTCGAGGGCATGGCCATCATCGTTGCCATCGTCGCCGTCGTCTTGGTCGGGTCAATCAATGATTGGAACATGCAGCGCCAATTCAACACTCTTAACAAGAAGAATGATGACAGAACCGTCAAGGCCATTCGGTCTGGGAAATCAGTGGAGATACCTATTCATGATATCGTCGTCGGCGACGTGGTGCACCTCAGCACTGGCGACGTCGTGCCAGTCGACGGCATATTTATCGACGGTCACAGTCTTAAATGCGATGAATCGTCTGCCACCGGAGAATCCGACCTTCTCAGAAAGGTCGCAGCTGATGAAGTCTTTGACGCACTGGACAAGATGGCGCATGGAGGTGCTGCTGGGCCTGATGTCGAAAAGTTGGACCCCTTTATCATTTCCGGAAGCAAAGTTCAAGAAGGTACTGGAGCCTTTTTGGTCACGGCTGTGGGTGTCAACTCATCGTACGGTCGCATCACGATGTCTCTGCGGACCGAACAGGAAGAAACACCTCTTCAGAGGAAGCTCAACATTCTCGCCGACTTCATTGCAAAAGCCGGTGGCGCTGCCGGTCTTCTATTATTCGTGGCGTTGTTCATAAGGTTTCTCGTCAAACTGCCGAACAACCAAGGGACGGCCGCTGAAAAAGGCCAAGAGTTCATGAAGATCTTCATCGTCTCCATCACTGTTGTGGTGGTAGCAGTGCCGGAGGGTTTGCCGTTAGCTGTTACCCTGGCTCTTTCCTTCGCGACCAACCGCATGATGAAAGACAACAACCTAGTTCGAGTTTTGAAAGCCTGCGAGACCATGGGCAATGCGACGACGATTTGTTCCGACAAGACTGGGACACTGACCCAGAACAAGATGACGGTAGTTGCGACAACTCTGGGCAAGAGCGTCAGCTTTGGCGGCACAGATACTCCACTCGAAGAGTCCAAGGAGGGCAAGGCTAAGAGCAGCAGCTCTAACGGAGCACCTGTGTCCTCAGTTCGGAATGTTCCTGTTGCCGATTTCACCAAGGACCTCAGCATGGAGACCAAGAGCCTATTAATTCAAGGCAACGCCGTCAACTCCACAGCCTTTGAGGGTGACGAGGATGGAGAGAAAACCTTCATTGGATCTAAGACCGAAGTCGCCCTGCTCTCCTTTTGTCGAGATCACCTAGGAGCAGGTCCAGTCCAGGAGGAGCGCGCAAACGCGAACATCGTCCAGGTCGTGCCCTTCGACTCTGCGGTCAAGTACATGGCTACAGTAGTCAAGCTTTCGGATGGGAAGTACAGAGCGTATGTCAAGGGTGCGTCTGAGATTCTCTTGGACAAGTGCACAAAGGTCCTCGAAGACCCCAACAGTTCTGAGCTCAAAACTGCGGAGATCACGTCAGACGACCGCGAGATGTTTTCGCAAACCATCACATCGTATGCCGGACAAACACTTCGAACCATTGGGTCCTCGTTCAAAGACTTCGAATCATGGCCTCCGAAAGATGCGGTCTCTTCTGACGATCCCCGAGCTGCAGACTTCAACAAGATCCATGCAGACATGACGCTGATCGCTATCTATGGCATCAAGGACCCTCTACGCACTACTGTCATTGACGCAATCAAAGACTGTGATCACGCAGGTGTGGTTGTTCGCATGGTGACTGGCGACAACATCTTGACCGCAAAGGCCATTGCCAAGGAGTGTGGAATTTACCATGCTGAGAAGGGCGGCATTGCCATGGAGGGACCGGACTTCCGCAGGAAGTCAGAGGAAGAATTGAAGGACATCGTCCCGAAGCTCCAGGTTCTTGCTCGCTCCAGCCCTGATGACAAGCGAATCCTGGTACACACTCTTAAAGAACTCGGGGAAACGGTTGCTGTTACTGGAGACGGTACCAACGATGCTCCAGCACTCAAAATGGCAGACATTGGTTTCTCTATGGGTATTGCCGGGACGGAGGTTGCGAAAGAGGCCTCGGAGATCATTCTCATGGACGACAACTTTGCGTCAATCGTGAAAGGGTTGATGTGGGGCAGAGCCATCAACGATTCCGTGAAGAAGTTCCTACAGGTACGTTGCTATCTTGTCTCTCATATCTCTACTGTCGTCGCCGTCGTCTCTACTGCCTATCGTCTCTACTGCCTATCGTCTCTTCCGCTTGTCGTTTCTGCAGTCAACATCGTTGTCCCCGACATTTCTCATATCTACTATCTATCGTCTCATTGTCGTCGCTGCTTCTAATCCGAGATACAGTTTCAACTCACTGTCAACATTACCGCTGTTGTCCTGACCTTCGTTACTGCGGTTGCCAGTGAAGACCAAGCTTCTGTATTGAATGCCATTCAACTGCTCTGGGTCAACCTCATCATGGACACTTTTGCCGCTCTTGCGCTTGCCACCGACCCTCCAACGCGTAGCGTGCTTGATCGCAAGCCAGAACGCAAATCTGCTCCCCTCATCACATTGAGAATGATCAAGATGATTTTCGGCCAAGCTGTGGTTCAGCTGGTCGTGACGCTGGTCTTGTATTACGCGGGATCTGGTCTAGTCGACGTCTTGGAAGGGCAAGACAGAGCAGTGAAATTGAACACGCTCGTATTCAATACCTTTGTGTGGCTGCAGATCTTCAACGAACTCAAGTAGGTTACAGCACTTGGCCATTGTGTACATGCTAACGCAAAATAGCAACCGCCGCTTGGACAACAAGCTGAATATTTTTGAAAACATCACCAAGAACCCGTTTTTCATCGCCATCAACCTGATCATGATCGGCGGGCAGCTGCTGATCATTTTCGTCGGAAGCGATGCTTTCAAGGTTGAACGATTGACTGGTAAGGAATGGGGCATTTCTATCGGTCTCGGTGCGATTTCGTTGCCCATGGGTGTCTTGATCCGTCTGCTCCCTGACAACTGGGTTGGCGCATGTATGCCCTGGTTCATCCGTAAGAAGTGGGCGCCAGAAACCATTTCAGAGAAGCGACTGGAAGAGCATCGCGACTTTGTCGAGGGCAAGGATACGCCTCTGAGAACGCTTACCGGTCTTCGCGGTAGGAGAGCGGAAACACATATCCCATTCCGAAAGAAGATGCATAACGCCAAGGAGCACGCCAAGGAGAAAGTCACTCACCTTGCACATAAATAATCTGCAGCTGTGTTAGTTTGTTAGGTTTCATCTGCGCCTCGGAGTATTTCATTGGCACAATAGATCTGTTAATAACGTTAATTCAATTAATTCTTGCAAACTGGACCAAGATGCTTCTGGCGATTATTTGAAAACCACAGGCTGTTGAAGATTGCATCCATGGCCGTGAAGACAGTTGTCCAATCAAATCACATCAAATGTGTACTCAGCTACGAAGCTTAGTTGCGATGTAGCAGTCCAAATGACTCCGAGGCCTGGTGGTTCTGTATCTGTCGTTTTCGACAGTCTTCGACGACCCGTGAATGAAGCAATACGGGCCCGACCAGAGGCGACAAGCGGTAATGGCTTGTGATAATGTGACTGACGAGGCTTGTGCTGGTGAGGCTTGTCTCTGCTTAGTCAGCACGAATGTCCGTTGGACCAAAAGGGTGGGTACCCAAGTAGCCAATCAGAAGACAGGCAATTCGGCAAAGCTGGTGCTCCCGGAACATCGCGAATTTCGTCAGGAACCTCACCTCTGAAAACCATCTGACCACCCTCCAACGACTCTCGCCTCGCCGACCGCATCGAAGCACCCTCGTCCTCCCCACGCGAAGTGTATTTGACAGACGACATTCAAGATGGTAAGGCTTCTGCGCCGTTTGTTGCGCCCTCGCGACCGCAATTGGCTAATCGCTCATCCTTTCTCCGTAGGCCGCCGCACGACCTTTCTACACGCAAGTCTCCCTATGACCCCTCCGACCCCTCCGACCCCATTCCGACTGAACAAGGCTACCCGGCTGAACGCCGCGATGACTGCGGAACTTGAGTTTTGCTGACTGTGGAGAATTAGCGCCCTGTTCAAGAACAACTTCTCCATGCTTGGCTTCGTCTTCGCGACGGGCTTTGCTTTCGAGATGTAAGGAGCACCGAATACCCCCCTGTCGATTTGAGACGACGCCTAGCTGAGGAAGGCAATGTTTGTGGAGGAGGATTGCTGGGGGATAGAGGAGGCGGAGGAGGCATCAGGGCGGCGAGGAGCGAGCGAACGTTATGCTGACCGGTCTTCTTTGCGTAGGGGCTTCAACGGTGCGATGAACAAGTACTGGGACTACCTTAACCGCGGCGTAAGAGAACCCCCTCTCTGTCTCATATGATTTCCTGCCCCGAGGGAATGCTAACGCATCTGTGACAACAGCGCCAATGGAAGGACATCCGCGCCAGATACGTCGAGGCTGCCGACGAGGACGACGAGTAAACGATGCCTGAACGGGATTCTTCTTTAACGATTGGGTTCGCGCTGCTTGGGGCTTTGCCTTTGAGGGCTCTGGTAGAGTGGAGGATTTGTACCGATAGACGGAGGGGTGTGTAGAACAAGAACTACCTTTCTGCTTATTATTCACACACATGTGGTTCTTTTTTTGTTAGTGAAGTGGTTGAGGTGAGGACTGCGGTGTTTTGTTGTGAAGTCGCACTCGGGGGAGAGATGCTGAAATGCATTTGTGTTGATGAATAGAAGAATGGCACTGAAGTGGCATTTCCCATGAGGTGAGGTCAGTTGGTTCTGAAAGATCTCTAGAATTTACGAAGTTTGAAATGTCCTCAAGAGCCAAGAGGTCGAGTCATACGGAAGATTTGTGTCTGAAGATGGATGTCGTAATAAACACCATGAAACCGTTGGATCGGAATTCGAACTTGTTCCAACGCTGTCACCATGTCGCGCTCTTTATCACAGCGTGCCCCGTCCCATTCATACCTTCAACATTCAGAAGAGGTGGCAGGCACAGAAAATATGGAAGAGTCATGTCATCACCAATGCATAGTTAAAAGCCATAGGAAAGACGGCGCAGCAGGTTTAACAGTTTTGTTTTTGGTCTGTAGAGTTACTACAATCTCCGACCTCGGAAGGCGCTTAAGGAAGGGCAATAGCCTCAATCTCAACCTCGACGTTCTTGGGCAGAGTCTTGACGGCGACGCAGCTGCGGGCGGGCTTGTGGGTGAACCACTTCTCGTACTCGCCGTTCATCTCCTGTATACGCCAGTCAGAAAGTGCAGGTTGAGGGGAGAGGGGGCCGCGGAAACTTACGGCAAAGTCGCCCATGTCGGCAAGGAAGATGTTGACCTTGACGACCTTGGCAATGGAAGAGCCGGCCTCCTTGAGGACGGCCTCGAGGTTGGAGATGCACTGCTTGGTCTTCTGGGTGATGTTGCCCTCGATCAGGACGCCCTCGGGGTTGAGGGGGATCTGGCCGGAGCAGTAGATGGCGGTGGGGGTCTTGACGGCCTGGGACTGTGGTGGTGGTTAGCTTTTCACAGGGGGTCCAATTGCTCGTGTGAGTGAGCTCATACGTAAGGGCCGACGGCTATTTCAAATGATTGTTGTCAGTCAATTGAGTCACATAAGACGAGGGCATTCAGGAAAGACTCACGGGCCGGGGCGTTCTTGGTGAAGACAATGGACTGGTCAGACATCTTGACGGTGTGGATGCTAAAGGGCTGAGCGTGGAACTTTGTGAAGACGCGGGTTGAGGGACGGAGGGCACGAGAGGAAACTCTGGTGACGGATCTGAGGAGCGAAGAGGACATGAGGATTGAAGAGTGGAAGGAGGAGGGGCAGGTTACCATGGACCGTGGATTGAGCGCGCGCCTTTGGTGAGGATTAAGTTGGGACTTCCCAGGCTGGACGGGCGAACCCCGCCGTTGCGCCCTCCGTTCTTCGGCGTCGAGGCCCGGGCGGGTAGCAGCGGGGTCCTGTTACCTCTCGTCGGAGCGGCTACCCGACCGAGAGTTTACGTACAAAACTGTCGATTACGCCTTGTCTGAGTTCCGTTAGTTGGTGAGAAGCAGTTTTGCACGCATAAGAATTGATTGCGTATTATGTGTATTATATAGTGGACGAGGAATGACATGAGCTAGAGAGTATCAAAAGGGACAATGTTCTTTCAACCAACATGAGCCCGTGATAGGTCAATTGCATCAAATTCCAGCTGAATTGCTGCGTCAGGAATTGAACTCGATTCAACAAGTCCTTACTTTCGCTAATCACATTGTTGTCCCCGAGCAAACACGCGGGCGTAGCCACAGACTGCGCGTACAATGCGTCGGGTAGAGTGCCGTTAATGGTTACGAGGGCCCTTCTTATCTTATCACGGCGGAAGGTGGGATGGAGCTCTCCCCAACCAAGACGCCCCCGAAATCAACCCCCAAAAATTGTTAGCGTAACCCACCTCAGCTCCGTCCAGCAGGCAGGCAGACAGCTTCAGTATGGCCAAGTGTCCAGTCCTTGAGTCCAGCCCGTCCACCAAAGTCCAAGAGGCAGAAGAATAAAAGCAACAGACCCCTGCCGCCCAAATTTATTCCCCAGGCCATCCTGTGTCCACGAAGGTTCAGTGTCACTTCTTCGCCAGGGGGTTTCCTATTAATTTTTCCGCGCGAGCTACCTGGCCGAGGTGATCCAACCTTCCTTGTCGTTCGCCCTTCACCACCACTCTTCTCCATCGCGAGACTGATTTTGTTCCCTCTTCTTCGTTTCTGCCTCCCTGCCGCAGCTTCTTCTGTCGTTCCTTACCTCGACCTTTCCTTCTTCTCTTCACTGTTCTCTCTTCGCGCCTGTCTTCTTCAATCACCCTGACGTGAGGGCTGACGCGGTCCACTTTTTCCCATAGCGTGTAAGTAAGCTACAAGCCCCTGAATTGCTCCCTTACAACCGCAGGAGCACAGCTCCGAGGCGCGATACGTACCACCATGTAGAGCTACCTGTCCTTCTTGATGCGACCCTTCTGGGAACCACACTTTTTTATCTCCCAGCTTCCCAACTCAACCTCCAATCTCGCGAGACTTGGAACTGACAAACCCCGTCTCGCGCAGCTCCTCTCGTCCATTTCCGATTCCCAACATGGCGCAGACGACTGCCACCTCCCCGCAGGGCAGCGTTCGCCAGCGCAACACGGGCTCTACTAAGAAGGGAGCTGTCCCGGGCGCCGCTGCTGACGCCGTCGCCGACTCTCTGACCAAGGCCGCCGACAAGACCAAGCGCGCCGGCGCGGAGAGCGGCCACATCATCGGCCTCGTCGTTACCACTGTCCTCGCCTTCGTCACCCGTTTCTGGGGTATTAGCCATCCCAATGAGGTCGTTTTCGACGAGGTTCACTTTGGCAAGGTACGTCAGCTCTACGCTTTTTTTTTTTTTCCCTCTCCTTCCCCAAGACACGATAGCTGACAGCTTGCTTTCCAAACAGTTTGCCTCCTACTACCTCGAGAGAACCTACTTCTTCGATGTCCACCCTCCGTTCGGAAAGCTCCTCTTTGCCTTTATGGGATGGCTTGTAGGCTACGACGGACACTTCCACTTCGAGAACATTGGCGACTCGTACATCTCCAACAAGGTTCCCTATGTCGCCTTCCGCGCTCTGCCCGCCATCCTCGGCGCATTGACGGTCACCATCTCCTACCTCATCATGTGGGAGTCTGGATACAGTCTGCCTGCCTGCATTCTGGCCGCCGGCCTCATCCTGCTCGACAACGCCCACATTGGTCAGACCAGACTGATCCTCTTGGATGCTACTCTGGTCTTCTGCATGGCATGCAGCTTGCTCTGCTACATCAAGTTCTACAAGCTGCGCCACGAGCCTTTCTCGCGCAAGTGGTGGAAGTGGCTTATCCTTACTGGATTCGCCCTGTCTGCCGACATGTCGACCAAGTATGTCGGTCTCTTCGCTTTCGTCACCATTGGCTCTGCTGTGATTATCGATCTCTGGGCTCTATTGGACATTAAGCGACCCGGTGGCGCGCTGTCCCTTCCGGACTTTGGCAAGCACTTTGCTGCCCGCGCATTCGGCCTCATCCTGATGCCCTTCCTCTTCTACCTCTTCTGGTTCCAGGTTCACTTTGCCATCCTTACCCGTTCCGGTCCTGGCGACGACTTCATGACTCCCGAGTTCCAGGAGACCCTTAGCGACAACGTCATGTTGGCCAACTCCTTGACCGTCGAGTACTACGACACGATCACCCTTCGCCACAAGGAGACCAAGACGTACCTCCACAGCCACGAGGACCGCTACCCCCTCCGCTACGACGACGGCCGTGTTTCCAGCCAGGGCCAGCAGGTTACTGGTTACCCATACAACGACACCAACAACTACTGGCAGATCATCCCCCTGGTCGACGACCAGAAGACGGGCCAGGCCGTCAAGAACAACGATGTCGTCCGTCTTCGCCACCTGGGCACCGACACCATGCTGCTCTCCCACGATGTTGCCTCTCCTTACTACCCTACCAACCAGGAGTTCACTACCGTTCCTTTGACTGAAGCCTACGGAGAGCGCCTGAACGACACGCTCTTCGAGATCAGGGTCGAGAACGGCAAGGCTGGTCAGGAGTTTAAGAGTATTTCCAGCCACTTCAAGCTGATTCACAACCCCAGCAAGGTTGCCATGTGGACTCACACCACCCCTCTTCCCGAGTGGGCACACAAGCAGCAGGAGATCAACGGTAACAAGCAGCTGGCCCCTAGCTCCAACATTTGGTTCGTCGAGGATCTCCCTTCCGTTCCCGCAGACTCCAAGAGACGCGAGAAGCCGGAGAAGGAGGTTAAGACGCTGCCCTTCTTCCGCAAGTGGTTTGAGCTTCAGCGCTCCATGTTCTGGCACAACAACCAGTTGACCAGCTCCCACCCGTACGCCAGTCAGCCCTGGCAGTGGCCCTTCCTGCTCCGTGGTGTCAGTTTCTGGACACAGAACGACACCCGTCAGCAGATCTACTTCCTCGGCAACCCTGTCGGCTGGTGGCTTGCAAGCAGTTTGTTGGCCGTGTTCGCCGGCATTATCGGTGCCGACCAGGTCTCTCTTAGACGGGGTATTGACGCTCTTGACCACCGTGAGTATATTGCATCTTCTTGATCATTTCGAAGCTAACCCCACCTAGGCACACGCTCCCGTCTGTACAACTCAACCGGCTTCTTCTTCCTTGCCTGGGCTACTCACTACTTCCCTTTCTACCTCATGGGTCGTCAGCTCTTCCTCCACCACTACCTCCCAGCACACCTGGCTTCCTGCCTTGTTGCGGGTGCTCTTCTGGAGTTCATCTTCACCGCCGAGCCCGCTCCCGAGGAGGGCTACCAGGTCATCAAGGGCAACAAGAAGGGCGATGGACCTAAGAGGCACATCAGCGCCCGCGAGCGTTTCGCGGGCCAGAGCCTTCTCCCCGCCTGGATCGCATGTGGTGTCATCCTGGCTGTTGCCGTCGCCGGCTGGTACTTCTTCCTGCCGCTGACCTACGGTTACCCCGGCCTCACCGTCGAGCAAGTCGTTCGTCGCAAGTGGCTCGGCTACGACCTGCACTTCGCCAAATAAGCGCCGTGAGGTTGAAGTCAAGCCCGCAAGGGATTGATACAGAATTTAGACGAAGTTGCTCCAGAAGTCGGCACTCCAGCGACCCGGCGTTCGGGTCACGGAAATACAGTTATCAGAAGCCAACGAGGGGATGGGGCTAAGCTGTGAATGTAAGATGAGATGACGAACAAATGGGACACACTGTAGGGTGTACAACTAGTTTTCTTGCGTTGATGAATAGTTCCAGTTCAGCTATTTTCGACAGTTTTCAAAGTGAAGCCCGTCTGCGTGTGATGTAAAAATAGTGACATTAATGCGTTGAGGCTGTCGCGCTCCTATTACCCCTGTCATCCACGGGAGGGATGACCTGAGCTCCACCAGCCAATCACCGAGTCTGGCCGCTTCTCCAGGCTCCCAATTACTGACCCCTGTCAGCCCTGTCAGCCAATGACATCAGTTCCCCTGACCAATTCCAGTGACCTTCTGTCAGGGGACCATTGGAAGTTTGGAACCCCTAGCAGGAGCTTTGAATCTGGACAGTTCAACCTACTTCTCTCGGTCAGCGTCAGCGCAGGAGGAAGGCGTGGAAGGATCGCACGACAAGCAAGCACATTTGATTTGCTATTTTCCCTTTCCGTTTCGCATCAATGGAGTCTTGTTTTCCGAGGTCTCTTCTTCTTCCTTGCTAATTTAGACATCATCCCGGTCTGGGTGTGGTGACATCCCGCGAGACGCCAGATCGCCGGTGCCGAACCGAACGAGGGAACCCGCCGGAAAAAAAACCGCTCGACGCCAATCGACGCAAATAACGAAATGGGCTTCCTGAACAGTCTCAGGCTCCGCGCGCGCCGAGCTATGCGCTCGCGAGCGCTGCGCAACCTCGTCCTCCTCCTGGCGGCGTACACCCTCCTCGACGCCCTGCGGATCCAGCGCATCATCACGGGCGCGACGCCCCCGCGCGAGGCGATCGCGAAGCGGCCTAGAAAGACGCAGAAGGTGTACATTGCGGGGATGCACTACAACGACGGGGCGCTGATCAAGGAGCACTGGAACGCAGCGGTGCTGGGGCTGGTGGACGCGCTGGGGCGAGGGAACGTGTTTGTGAGCGTGTACGAGAGCGGGAGCTGGGACGAGAGTAAAGCGTGGCTGAGGGAATTGGACGATGAGCTGTTTAAGAGGGGGGTGAGGAGGAATGTGGTGCTGGACGAGAGGACGCATTTGCAGGAGGTCGAGGAGGGGGAGAAAGACGACGGGGGAGGAGAGGGGACGAAGGAGGGGTGGATTATGACGCCGAGGGGGAAGAGGGAGATGAGGAGGATACCGTTTCTTGCGCGGTTGAGGAATTTGACGTTGCGGGATCTGTGGAGGTTGACGGATGAGGGAGAGGTTTTTGATACAGTCCTGTTCTTGAACGATGTCGTCTTCACTGTAAGAAACTCCGGGTTTCCGCCCATGGCCCCGCTTGCTGACTCTACCTACAGGCCGACGACGTTCTCGCGCTGCTGGACACGAACGGGGGCCTCTACGCCGCGGCGTGCTCGCTCGACTTCTCGGAGCCGCCCTCCTACTACGACACGTTCGCGCTGCGCGACTCGGCGGGGCAGGCGCACCTGATGCAGACGTGGCCGTACTTCCGGTCCGCGGCGAGCCGGGCGGCGATGATGGCATACGCGGACGCGGTGCCGGTGCGCAGCTGCTGGAACGGCATCGTGGCGATGCCGGCGGCGCCGTTCCTCGCGCCCGAGGCCAGCGGGCGCCGGCTCAGGTTCCGCGCCGTGGCGGACTCGCTCGCCGAGGAGAAGCACCTCGAGGGCAGCGAGTGCTGTCTCATCCACGTGGACAACCCGCTGACGGAGCATCTGGGCGTGTGGCTGAATCCGAGGGTCAGGGTCGGGTATGACGGGGACGCGTACCGGTGGGCGAACCCGGCGGAGGGGAGCTGGGTGAGCGTGTGGAGGGTTATCGTGGGGAAGTGGGAGGGGAGGTTGAGGAGGTTGCTTACGAGTGACAGCGTCAAGGAGTGGGTTGTCAGGAAGAGGGTGAGGGAGTGGGAGGCGGAAGGCGAGGGGAGGAGCGAGAAGGGGGTTGATTGTCTGATCAACGAGGGACAGGTTCTTGTTTATAATGGGTGGGCGCATGTTTAAAGATACCCTGGTATATATTTGAGAATGTTTAAAGCCTTGCGGCAATCTATCTTGTTATTTCTGATGCCATTACGTCTCGTTGCGCCGTGGACCTTCTACGTAGCTACCCATGCTCATAATGCCGCCTGCTTAATCAATTAAGCGTCCAAAATGCCTCCCAAATTCACCCCCCAATATGTCGTCAAGTCTTGAGATATGTGGTCTGTTTCTTGTAGGAACGGGTGGAGGGAGAGCTTGTGTGTCGTCCCGTCATGAGACAGCGCGTCTTGAAGGAATGGGTGAAGTAACGGGTTCGAGACTGTGTCCGTTTCAATGACCACTGGGTTCGTCCCAATTTCCTCAAAGAAGCGTGTCAGCGCCGGGCTCTTCTTCGTCTCCTCATCCACCGAGACGGACGTGGCGTCGATTGCTCTGAAGCCACCAGTGGATCTTGCGAGCATCGGTCGTCGATTGATGATAGGTGCTTCAGTCTGGTCGTCCAGCGACTTGTCGGGAGAGCTCGGTGCGGTTTTCTGTATGCTATTGAAAAACGTCTCGTAATCGTTCAGCTCAGAGTCCGACATATTAGAGTCCTCTTGCGTATCGTACTGTTCTTCGTCATCGCCATCGTCGCTCGACTCGGAACTCACACTCCAGGTGCTTCTCACGGCCTCTCCAGCACTGTCATTTTTCTTAGGCTCGTCGGTTGAGTCGGCATTCTCGCAAAAACGAAGCCGACTAGGCGTCCCAACCACGCTCTTCTTTCTCTCAACGCTCTCTTGAGTCGTTGCCCTTCCATCCACTGCGGAAAGCAACTCCAGCAGCGCGCCGTCCTCGTTAAGGATATCGCACTCCTTCAGTGTCTCCAGTACCCCTGTTGCCGCCGCCTCGATCAAACGATCCATCAAACCCTGGCTGATAACTTTCGGGAGATCAGCTATGGATACGAGGTCATACAGTGAGAGGCCGTGCTTGCTGAGGGTATGAATTTGTGTGGACGTGAGACAGCCCTTCCTCTGTGAGTCCGCGGCGCGAATCTTGCGGAATACTGGGAGGATCCTATGCCTTCGGCGGAGGTCGTTTGGAGGCGCGAAGGCGTCAACAAAGCTAAGCATCTCAATCACTGGTCCCGAGTCCCAATATACCGAGCGTATCGCCTGCAGTAGACGAGTGTACTCTGTTTTGCCATCATGAGAGGCGAGGACCAGCTCGTGGAGGTCTGTGAGCTGTTCCACCGGGTTGATGTCTGGTGAGGGGATGACGTGGAGAGCGAGGTAGCGAAGGATGGTCGAGTTACAAGCAATGTGATCTTGAATCTCGTTATGAGTTGCTGTCTCGGGTAGAGAGAGACCTGCTCTGATTACAGCCAGGGGACCTTGAGCATTGGGTGCGTTAGGAAAGAACGGAGGCAGGTCAATTCCTTGGGTCAGTGTCTCCGGAAGTGGAACATCCACGGGAGTGAGAACATCGCCTTCAGATGAGGACGAGGATTCTGAGTAATGTTCAAGCAGATCGTCAATAGAACCGTCTGTCGTTGCTGAAGGAGGCTCCTGGTCGTCATCGAGGATATCCTGATCGACGTTGGATACGGGTGGAGGGTTGGTGCATCCAACCTGCACCTGGTCGTTGCCTCTGACGGTGATCGTCATGGTCTTGCCACCCTGAATGAAAGAGTAGGTTCCCGGGCCAAGGGTAATTTGGTTTCCGTTATCTAGCTCCTTGGGTTTGCGTTCTGACGCAGGTTCTGTTACGTTGTGTAAGCGAATTGGTTTGTTGGTATGGAAGACCAGCTGGGCCGTACCTCCAAAGATCTCAACAGCACCTGCGTGTCCAATTTCGGCGTTTGTTTGTTCTTCGTGTGCAACGAACGCCTCAATTGAAGAGTCCGCGATGGGGCTCTCGGTAGGTGATGTCTCCCGCTTATTCCCGTGCCAGTCGAGAGCGGTGGGAGGACGGGGGAAGTCGCTAATATTCACTTCTTCGTCAGAGCACTCGCTCGATGTCGCGGACTCCGGGGGCGACGACGGGCCCGGATTGCGGTATGTGTCCAGCACATGCCTCATGGACCTCGCAGAGTTCTCCCGGTAGTCTTCCTCAGAGGTGTCGATAGGGCTCTCTGCCAACATCATCATCGAAGTGCTCAGCGAACCGGGACTTTCGCTCCTTCCGTTTGTGGGAACACGAGGAAGAACATCGCGCATCGTTTCCTGTTGAAAATTGCGACGCGAGGAGAGAGAAGTCGCCCCTTCCGTCTCCGAAGAAATGCGGCGAAGAGATGGACGGGAGCCAGATCCGTCTCCCGAGGTCTTCCCATTCTTCGTCTTGTCCTTCGCCCTGTGTGATCTGCTCGTCCTGTCAGTACTTACGACCATCTCGTTTCCCTCGGCAGGCGGCGTCGTTACCTCTTCCTGCTGTTTCGCAACTTTTTGTTCATCGCTGCTGCTGCTTTCATCCCGGTAGAGATCCTGGCCGCTCGCAGCTTGCGTAACTTCAGGCCTCCACGACGTAATGCCGCGGACGATGTTGAGGGCGCGGAGGATGGTGTCGGCTTCGTTGCGATTGCTTCGGGCGCGCTTCTCAGCTTCGTTTTGGAGGCGGCGAAGCGCGAGGAGGGCTTCCGAAGACTCACCTCCTCTGAGGCAATCTAGCGTCTCTCTGATGCCCTGAGTGTGAAGTTCGAGGGGAACGTCCCGGGCGTATGCTGTTGTCAGTTTGGGAGGCGCGGAAGAAGCTTTTGCCAAGGTGATCGTTGATGCCGACGTGTAGTTGAATCCTGACTGACTAGGTTGAGGACTGGTTGGTGCGAGCTTCCTTCCGGTCCAGCGGGAGAAAAGTTTGAAAGGCATCTTTTCGGTATTGCTCGTTGGTGAATTCACTGTTTGGTGGGGGTGGTTGGTGGGTTGCTGAGAGTCAGTGAATTTGGCAAGGTGAGAAAGCGCGCCCCTATTTGACTCAGACTTGGTCAAAGACGGCAGTTGCGACAGAACATTTTACAGTTTGGAAGGAGCGACCCTTTCTTGAAACTTCTCGCTGCCTTCGCAAAGAGGAGTGTGTTTTGTGGACTCAAAGAGCATGGTCGGCGTCGTGGCTCACGAGCCCATGTTCCTTTGCTTTTCGGCGAACTTGTTACGAGCCGTATCATCATAGTCGGCCAGTCCCTTGGCCTCCACGCTGAAGGAGTCTCGCAACAAAAGCATTGTCATCGATTGTTCTTTGAAGGGCCCTCAGTGGTGCGCCGCAGATCTGTACTACCACTACCCCACGCGAGAGCCCAGGCATATCTGATGGTTTCTTAATCGTCCACACTTTCTTCCATAATCGTCTTAAGTATGAGACAGAAAAGCTGGAAGCACACAGCGTCTGAAAGGTTGATTCAATCTCTTTCTAGATACCTCTCAAGACATCGGTATGAATCAACACAATGTTGAGTATCTTACTATAGAAGTAGAAACACATTCTTGAGTTTTCTGAGCTCGGACAAGTTGTTTGTGGAACAATGTTCTTGACAACCACACGAACAAAGGTTCAGGCAATATGTTGTCTGTACTCTACCCTCGCGACTCTATGCTTCCTGGAGGATCACGAACTACCGTAAAGAACCAGAACACAAGAAATTGTTCAATACAAGCACCCACATCGTCAAATATATGACTTGCCATGATGCCGCAGTCAACCATGTTTCCAGTCACAAACGAGCTTGCCAAACATCCAAACCATACTCCCATCAACTACACCATCTTCCTTAAAAAGATGTGCTACAAAAAGCAAACGTACTACAAAAGCTGCTCCCACACGCGCACAGAGGAAGAAGACTGCCCCCACCAGAAGCGCCTCAGCCAACTGCGTCTCCAAGAGCGCCTCGACGCCCACCGCCGCCAACGAAGCTCCTGGCTCCTGTGTATCTTCTGCTTCCTCATCGCTCCCGAGCCGCGGACGCGCACCCCGGAGCCCCGCCGCGAGTGCCCCCTCCAAGACGTCCGCGTCGAGGTCGACGGCCGGTGTCCGCAGTGCCGCCTCCTCGACGCGCAGGCGGCCGCCGTGGGGAGAAGGGATAGGTACGAGTATGACTACGCGGCGCGCCGGTGCCGTGTCAGAGGTGAGGTGAGAGGGAGTGAGATGAACGCCGTTGCTGACCTTGTGAGTGCGCAGGTGGTGGATATAGCTGTTCCGATGGATGATGCGGAGAGGAGGGAGGGGACGAGGGGGAGGGCTGGGTGGAGGGAGTATGACGCGCGGATACGGGAGCCGGAGAGGACTTACATGCCCTATCGCCCCGAAGGTCGTCGGAACACGGACGCCTCTGCCGGTTCGCGACGACCGAATCGGGGCCGGGACTTTGTGCCGTATGTGGACTCAGCGTCTGCTTCGTCATCGAGCTCGCCTGAGCTGCCGCAGACGCCGCGGGTGAGTAGCCTGGAGTCAACGTCTTCCGCATGGCCTGCCCCTTTGCGGATTTCAAAGACCAAAACCCATATTAGGAGCCCGGACAGGACATCCTCAGCCTGTCCTGCTCCCCTACAGATATCAAAGACTAAACAGAACCAGGATCCGTCGAGACCTACACAAACGCAGCATCTCAAGAGCCCAGAGTCGACATGTTCCGGCCGGCCAGCCCCTTTGCGAGTTTCCAAGACCAAGCAGAACCAGAAACTGTCAAAGTCCAAGAGGAGCTACTCCAGGAAACCGGGCCGAAGCGCAGTCGCAGCGTTGGAGAACCCGCCCCTGAGCGCCGTGATGGAGGACGTGGAGAAGGCCTGGAACGATGCTTGCACGGATGGAGGCTCCGCTGCCAGGACTGCCCGAAAGCCGTCGCAGGAGCTGCCGCCGCTGACCAGCCCGTCCTCATACAGCCCGGAACTACCGATCGAAGATCTGATTGACGAGGTTGAGCTCCTCTGGCGAAGGGCAGGCTGCAGCAACGATGGACCCGGGTAAGGTCGTCCCTGCTCCTCAGGTACGTATGCGTTCACGTCATATGTAGACTACGGCTTAGAGTTGGCTTCTGGACCCGTCAACCCGGGACAAACCTAGTGTCCCTAGTTACTGTACAGATCTTGAGGTGGGTTCCACGGCTTGGGGGGCCAAAGAAGTTTACATGGGGAGAAACGTGACATGCATTCGCCTTTTTGGATCTACGGGGCGCCGGGGTGGCATGGACAGAGACAGAGTTGATGCTAGCGGGAAAAACAAGCTCAAGGCAGAAGAATAAACGAGGACGCAGCCAAACTGCAACTGTGGCCCCCGTCTTTGATACGCCGAGACCGGTTCGTGACGATGCGGATTCGTGGCCTCTTTCGTGGGCGCGTTTGACCGCTGCACGTCAAAGAACAGGTTTCGCTTTGCCAAGGTTGTTGGTGGCCACTTTGTGCTTCTGGCATAGGGTGAGGGGTTAAAGGCAAGATGGCTGCAAGGTACGTAGTATTCTCAAACAAGAGGGCCAAAGGCAGAAATATTGATGCCTTGTCGTGATGCTACGCAGCTGGTTAAAAAAGGTCTGGCCAAATATGGCAGTCGCAAGAGATTGGCGGAGCGGAGCACTGGGTGATAGGCTGCTCTATTTCCGCAGACTTGATTGGTGGATGACCGGGGACCCCCCCATAGGGCTGACCAGCCGGGCAGACTGAGGGCCGGGAGATCATTGATTCGTTACCGCCTACGAAGTACGTGTCGTATCCATGGTGGACTTTGTAAGCCAATGAGGTGGCGGGATCGGTTCGCCGGCGGGATAAACTGCGTAGGTAAGGCACGCAGCGTTTGGAATGGAGGTGCGGACGAACAACGAGCCGTCTTGCTGGAATGGACGGGAGAGAGGAGATGGGGGGGGGGAGGGGGCGCGCGGTCGGTTCGCAAGTGCCGTCCAAGTCTAATGAGTTGGGCCTGGCTCTGTCCGAGAACCGTGAATACGGGGGCGACGACGGATAGCACAAACACGGGATTCGGCGGGTTCAGGGACGGAACGGGATGTTGACGAGGCGAAGAAGCTTGGCCTCTGACAGGACGCCGTCACTCACATACACACACACACATACGCGCCCGCGCGCAGTAACTCATTAGTTAGCTACTAGCTGGCTCAGTTCTGACCCGGCGAACCGAAATTTTGAGTCAGAAAGCTTGCTCGGTTTGAGTTTACGTGCTTCTTCTTCCCACGCTCCGGCGCACACACTACTCTCTGGGACCTGACAACCGCCACGCCAGCCCTACGTGTGGAGAGGACCAAGGGGGGCGGCAGGAGCGCGGTGAGGGTTGGAGGGGGTGGTGGTGATGAGCAATTGGCTGACGAAGGCCCGTTTGACGTGGTGGTTCCTGCAAGAAGGGCGGTACTGTGAGTCCTCATGCCGCCTGTGCTTCTCGTTTCTTGTATCCGCATGCGCGTAAAGGTACTGTGCAGGAGGAGGAGGAGTAGGGATGCTTGTCCAAGGGGAGTGCGTGACTGCGTAGGTGCTGCGTTACCCGTATTGCTGGCGATTGTGCGCAACCGCGCAATCCATTGCCGTCACTGCAAGAGCGCCAAGGTCCAACGGACGCAAGCCAGGTGACGAGTCAAGGTCCTGCAGGTCCACGTCCGTCCTGCGTCTCTTCCAACGTCCCGTCATTTGCTTCGCATCCAATGTCGTTGCTCAGGGCAGAGCCAGAATGCGAGCGAGGGGCCGACCCTTACGAACGGCCACGGCGGCAAAAGAAGGCTGCAGAGACGACCGCCCAGATATTGGGGTCTGTTAAGATGTAACCACCCCTGTTAAGGTGGACGACGTATTGGACGTCATTCGACCGGATCCAGACCAGCAGACCGGTCGATGGGTACGGCTAAACCTCTAGAGTGTTATGCCAATGGTGCCATGCTACCTTGACACCTTGCTTGGTCAGACTTGGTTCGATTACTTTCCCAAGGGGTTGGCGTTGCAGTGTTGTTGGGCTGGGACGACAAGCGAAAGAGAATGCGCCCGCTGGCGGTTCCGATCCATGTCGATCACGGAGGTCGGGTGACTGAAGACTGACTGGACTGACCGACCGAGCGGACGAGAACGCCGAGATGCACCGGATGTAATCAATCAGGGCCGGGGGTTTGGGATTTTCCACGACGGCCGGGCTGTCGTTGGTCTGGTCTCCCTTGTTGTGTTCACTTTGATGGGGTCGGCCGCCGCCCCCACGGTAAGCGATGCGATGTGCATGCTTCCAGAGGTCCGCAGTGGGCTCTTGTGTGTTTCGTTGTCTGTTTTTTTCTTGCTCTCTCTCTCGCATTTTGGCGATAACCTCCACAGATGGCCCACGGACCACGCGATTGATATCACAGGGTTGCGGAAAAGGGAAGGGCGTAGATGGTGTGGTGTGATTGGTCAATTTCCGGAATCGAACGGTGGCTCAATCGTCGCCGGTGGCCAGCTCAAAGTTGCAGTGTTGCATGGCATGGGCAACAGGCCGGGAGATTGGATCAAAGGGGGTCCATCCAGTGTTGCACCCAGCCTGCGGTGAGTGTCTCTGCAACTGCTGTCACTGCAACATATGGACGAGACTGCTCATTGCAACCCTGATGAGGGCCCGCGGAGGAGGCTGAGGGGACCTGAGACCCTCAGCCCAAGGTCCCAAGCATGAAGCACTGCAGGACCAAGCATTTGAGGGGCCCGCTGGTTGGTGCTGGGGGCGGAGGGGATTGGGGGACGAAAGAGCGGAATCGGATTTGGGAGAAAGAGGCGAGAGAGACAGACCCGGGTTGGCGGAGAAGGAAACGATCCAGTGGGATGTCATGGATCAGGCTGGGCGGGTGGAGCACATGCGGAAGTCTAGGACACTGGGAACGGGGTTCAGCAGTCTTCAGTCCTGAGAAGAGAAAGGGACTTTGGTTCTGATGGGCTGATGGTGACGGGGGTAAGCGAGCGAGGCCAATTTGAGCTTCATTAGTCCCCATTGGAGAAAGTACCGTGCATGAGGCCGTCTCCTCTTGGGCTCCTCTTTTTGCAAGACAGCAAGACGATCCCTCGCCTGTCTCTCTCTCAGAAACAGTCACCAGTGACAGAGACACAGGACCTCAGCCACAACCGGTGCAACAGAAGGGAGATGCAGGTGCAGCAGAAAGCCCAGCCGTGTTTGCTGTGCTGTGCTGTGCTGCGCTGTGCTGCGCTGTGCTGTGCTGGTATGCCTCGCAGGATGGACGCCAGCCGTGCTAAGCTTTTGCTGTGCTTCACCCACAATTGTGCATTCTGCCATGCTATGCCATGTCGTGTTGAGACGATGATGATGATGATGTAGTGCGGCGTGCGAAAACAGCATCTGTCCTCACCAACCCCTGCACAGGACTCATGTCGATCGGTATGGACAGTGTGATGGGCTTAATGAGGCCATCGTGGCAGGACTTCTGAACTGCAACTAGTCGAGGCCTCAATGCCAGAGTTCTGCTGCTAATCTGCCAATCTGCTGCCACAGCGGACGTTGAAACACAATCCGTCCCATTGCGACACTTTGGCCTCAGTTGCGCCCATTCGCCGTTGGTGTTGGCCATCTCATTCCCCAGGTTCAGGGTCGAGGGTCGTCGGCCGATGGCGCCATTCTCTGAATGGCAATTCGTACTGCTGCGAACCTGTGCGGTCCGTTTGTTACTGGGCTGGACCCGGCCCCCGGCTGGCTGCTCTCGCTGTCTTTCTTTCCACCTGGTTTCCACATGCCATGCCTGCCCCGTCGAGACCCATCAAACAAATTGAAAGCATGGCGGGAGCCGGGGGAGCGAAAAGGCAGCCGTTAAACCGGTGCGCCGTCCCGAAATGCGTTCGTGATGGCTTGCCGACCGTTGGGGGTGTTTGAGCATTCAGCGGCCAGAGAATTCGGCTGCCTTTTGGGGTTGATGCGCGTCCAACGTTTTAGCTCAGCAGCACGGCACGCACACACACGACCTCACCAACGCGCAATACAGAGAGTGTACTTCGTGTGGACAAACAGCAACAGAAATGGACTCGGACCCAGGGAGAGAGAGGAGGTTGTCTTGTCTTGCTTGTTTGCCGCTGACAACAGCCAGCATCATCGGTCCCGATTCTGGAGCAGACGGCACCGCAGTGTGTGGGCTGCGGATACCATCATCATCATCACCACCGGTATGAAATGGAGCTATTATTGAAACCTCTCCTCTCAGCCGTGACGCTGTTACATTGAGCGCGATTCTCAATATGTCGTCGGTGCTAATCCAGCACTCTAATGCTTAATTCCGGGGCTGTGCTCATGTCGCTCTTTCTCGTCTGCTCCACTGTAGCCCAGTTTAGTCCGACGGCTGCAGCGCGACGGTGACCCTAACAGCGGGCCCTGCACTCGCTGCCCTGGAGCTGTTTGGGTCCCAGGTCGCGTCTTGTACCCGACGGCGGGCGTCTTGACGAGGAGTTGGGCCAGTACTTCGATTTCCACCGTCCCAAAACCGCCATTCTCGCTCTTTTCCCTCAGCGACCCTCCAGCCCATGCACTCAGTAAACCCAGTAAATCCAGTAGCGTACCAACCCAGCGATACCTCACTCTTGACGCTCCCCTGCGGACGAACAGGGGTCCGATCCTCCTCAGTCCGCAAAGCCCAGACTCCGCCTCCACTAACCGCCCGCGACGCCGTCTGATTGGCCCAGCTGCTCCAGGCAGCAGCCTTCGCCCCGGGCGCTCTCAGGTCCGCTCACGTCGTTCACGTCGCTTCTGCTTTTCTAATCAACCTCGACGACCTTCGAGCCAAACCGCCAAATCTCACGCTTCTCCCGCCTCCATCCCACCCCCGTCCACGTCCTCGTCTTCGCCGTCCTTTCTTCGACCGAATCCTCCTCCACGTCCTCAACCATCTCTTCTTTTTTTTCTCCCCTCCCTCATTCTCGCACACCACCGTCCTCAACTTTCAGGACTCGACATCCGCCCGCACCTGTACTGAGGCCGCCACATCCAGTCCGCAGTTGGCACTTCCCCCACCATCTCTACTCGTCCGCCGCTTCTCCCGGACACTTTCCCAATAACAACCTGCACATCTGCCCTCTTCTCCCTCGTCTCTCTCGCCGACGCGTAGTCCCGCAGAGACGAACGAACCGCTCCTACCCCGTGTCTCGCATCCAGCACTCTGCAGACCGGACCCCAAAATCAGGCAGACTGATTTCGGCCTCGACTTAAATCGTCTCTCCTGCATCCTCAGACTTCCCGTCGCCGACATACCATCATCTCCCGCACCAGCTGTTATCACACATCGTAAGACTAGGACCTCTCCTTTCTTCTACTTCGTCCACACGTTCCCCGTCTCAAACATCTGCCGCCACATTGCCACATTGGCCAATCCTAAAACCTTGGGGACGATTGGCTCCAAGAGTTAGGACTATCCTGCATCTGGCGTACCGGCGTTGTCCTGGTCGTGACTCACACCCCGTGTCCCGTCCAGCCCTACAACTCGAATGAACCCATAAGATATCTAACACTCTCCTTGTTGACAGAGTTCTGGACACCCGTGTCATTACCGTCACCATGTCCGTCTCCGTCAACCCTCGACGAAGGACTCCGGTGACTCGCCCGGAGTCTCCTGCCGGCCTTAGCCTTAAGACCAACATGACCCTTCGCAAGGGTGCTACCTTCCACTCTCCCACCAGCCCTACCTCTTCAACAGACGATGCCTTGGCCTCCCCTCCTAGCCTTCGACGCTCTCAGACAAACCTGGACGACGTCGTCGACGCCCATTGCCGTCGCGCCGCGTTGATGATCGACGACATTGAGAACTCTCTCTCCAACATCACCATCGTCTCGCCCAAGGCCAGGTCCTTCCGTGACGACAGCCTTCCCGTTCCCAGAGGCTTCCTCAACCTTCCCGTTGTCGACCCCACCATGGCCAAGGAGAAGTCAAAGGAAGCGGAACGCCGCATTCTGCGTCCCAGAACCCGCCGCTCCTCGAGACATCATGAATCAGATAGCGGACTCGGCACCTCTGTCGCCCCTACCACCGAGACAGAGCCTGCGACCACCGCATCAAAGAAGGCCTCTGCCATTACTAGGTCCGCTGCTGCCACCTCTTCATCCACCAAGGAGAACCTTCGCGGCCTCAGCCAAAAGGCTGCCAACCGCATCACAGAGCACATTCTGCGCCCTCTTCGGGCCAAGCCTGCCCTGAAGGACTTTGAGCCCATTGTTCTCGATGTTCCTAGACTCATTAGAGAGAAGGAGATCATCTGTCTGAGAGATCTCGAAAAGACTTTGATTTTCATGGCACCGGTAAGTCAAGCACTGACTGATACTGGTCTTTGGGGAAATACTTATCGATTGTTGATGAAGGGGAGGTCCAAGACCGCCGCCTTGTACCTCGACTTCTGCCTGACATCGATCCGCTGCATTCAAGCCACCGTGGAATACCTCAGCGACCGAGAACAGACTCGACCCAACGACCGACCTTACACTAACGGGTATTTTATCGATCTTGTCGAACAGCTTCACCAGTACGCAGGCCAACTCGCTGCCGCCAAGGAAAAGGGAGACGTTGAGATCTCGTATGGTAACCCCGCTCCCGAACTATCTACCCCTGCTAACGCGGCAAACAGCACCGACGAAATCAAGCTTTACGGTGGTATCACCGAGAACGGACGCCCTGCCGAGCTCGTCCGCGTCCGCAAGGACGGTAAGGCCATCTCCATGGCTACTGGTCTGGAAGTCGACCTTGACGACTCCGCACCCATCAAGATGAAGCGCTCCATGAGCCAGCAGCTGGAGGACGAGGAGGAGATCATGCGCTCCATGGCCCGCCGCAAGAAGAACGCCAGCCCCGAGGAGCTCGCCCCCAAGAAGTGCCGCGAGCCTGGCTGCAACAAGGAGTTCAAGCGCCCATGCGACTTGACCAAGCACGAGAAGACTCACTCGCGTCCTTGGAAGTGCCCTGTTCCTACCTGCAAGTACCACGAGTACGGCTGGCCGACTGAGAAGGAGATGGACCGCCACCACAACGACAAGCACTCTTCGGCTCCTCCCATGTACGAGTGCCTGTACAAGCCTTGCCCTTACAAGTCGAAGCGCGAGTCCAACTGCAAGCAGCACATGGAGAAGGCCCATGGCTGGACCTACGTCCGCACCAAGACCAACGGCAAGAAGGACAGCAAGGCCGGCAGCGTAACCCACGCCACTCCCCAGCTTCACCACATGCCTACCCCCTCCACCAGCAGTGCTGCCACTCCTCCTCCGCCAATGGACCAGGCCCAGCACTTCAACTTCAACGACCCCATGCTTCCGTTGCACCCCATTGGTCCCGTCGGTGACTTCGCTTCCCACATTGACGGCATGGAATTCCCCTCCTACATCTCCGACGAAGAGTTTGAGCAGGTCATTGGTGTCCAGCAGCCGTTCGACAACCAAGTGGACCTCGAAATGTCCTTGTCTCCTTCCGACCACAACACTCCCAACACCGACATCTCGCTTGGCCCGTACTCGTACCAAGACGGCCCGGAGTTTATTGTGGAAGACGACATCTACGCTGCGCATGCTTCGCTTCCCACTCCTGACCGCGCTGTTTTTGCCGACAAGCAGATGAACATGGCTTTCCCCATCTACCAGTCTGTACCTGCCTGCCAGCCGCAGATGATGCCGGCTCAGCCCGCTCCTCACATCTCCCCCATCGGCCAGGGCAATGCTATGCTCTTCACACCCAACTCGCTAGCTGAGGTCGACGAGAGCTTCGATGACAACTTTGGCAACGCCGGTGACAATTTCTGCGGCAACGACTTTCAGTTGTTTCCGTCCAACAATGCTACTAAGGCTTTTGAGCCTCTGTTCGGCGAGGTACCGAGCGCCGGTCTGGGCTACTCCCAAAATTCCCAAGACCCCTTCCAGTCACTAGACTGGAACAACATCGACTACACAAATTTCCCGAGCCAGTAAATGGTCTCAAGCGGAGTGTGCGATGAATACGGTAACAGCTCTTTGGAGCTGTAAGTGTGACAAAAACTTCTTGGTGTTGGACAGGTTTATGATTTTATGACTGGACACGGATTGAGCCATTTGTATTGGCTCGAGGAAGTCGGATGTTCGACTTTTCCTCTTTGACGCGCTTTTGTACAATTGGTTTGGCAGAACCACCCTGCTTGCTCTAGGATTTATCTCTTTCCTCATTTTTAATGGTATGAGATTGACGATAGAGGATGTGTATGGCACAAGATGTGGTGACTTGGGGCCAACAACAAGAGGTCTCCACTAGTCAGCCCACGGGTGTGAGGTAGCAGATCTCTAAACATATCGCTTTGAAATTTGATATGGCAAGTTCTGAGAAAACCAAAAAAGAAAGCTATTCTGTCTATCTGGCGTCCGTTGAGCAATGCCGTGAAGTGGGATGTTGTGTCACCTGTTGACCAAGTATCCACTGGAGGATTGTTTGCTCTGGATGTCACGGACACAATGGAAGAAAGGGGGCCCAGAGGCCTAGTTGGAGCGGACACGGCTCCGGCAGAGAGTCGAAAGTCTCCGCGGGATTAAGGGTGGAGGCGTATGACGTCTGGGGCGGCGACTGTGAGTCTCACGGCGACGGATCGGGCTTGACGGGGGATTAGGTCTCAGGTTCCGGCTCTTCCTACGATGGAGGGATCTGCGGGCTGGGATACGAGGGAGCCGGCGCGTGATCAATTTCGTTGGCAAATAGGGGCCAAGGGAAGGTAGATTGCACCGTATTTTTAGGATGGAAAAGGGAAGATAGGTAGATTTAGGAATCTCAAAAGACCTAGTTTGAGACATGCTCGTGGGCCTTTTCCTGGTTTTTGGTGACTGCGTTCCGTTGTTGGACCGTTTGGTGTCTTGTATCCGTACTACCTTAGGTAGCCTATGCTCCCGTCGTCCATGTGTGTGAGACGGGTTCGGCGGGGATAACCGTTCTGTCCCGCTTCCCCCGTCGGCTTACCTAACCTTCCGAGGTGTCACTCAGTGATTACGTGAAGCTCCTGTGGGATATCTGCACCACCCAGCTGTCGACGGACCGCCGCCCGTTCGCTTGATTCCTGAGGTCTCCATGCCCCACCCACCGCAAGGTGCCGCCAGCTCCAAAAAGCGCGTCGGCAAAATCTCTTCGCCTTTCCTTCCTCCCAACTTCCATCCACCACCACCCCAAACGCGTATCGTCAACGCCGCCGCGTCGCAGCACGAACGTCGCACATCGAAGCTTCACGGATTCAACTCATTCTTTTTGAATCCGTCGCTGAGAGGTAAGCTAACTCATTTTTCCTCACGTCACAAAATCACGTGTGTGTGCTTCACGCACGCGCAACGACCAACATATGATGAATTCGCATCACCCGTATCTCATTAGGAAGAGCCGTCTGAGACGCCCCGGAGCATTTCAAGGGCCTTCGGGAACGGGGGAGGAGGGGGAGAGCGCGGGAGAGCGAGATGTGGGAGGAAAGGGAAGTCGGGGGAGGGGGGGAGAGGGCGAGTGTCGTGTGTTTTCCGGTCGCGGATCTCTGCAGCCCCTGCACTTTGCGTGCCGGCACCGCACGGTCTGCCGATGGACGCGCAACTTTACCTCTGTGGGGGACGCGCTTCGAACGCCTGCTTGACATTCTTTCCGTTGGCTCTGCGAGGAGCGGCTGGATTGTTCGTGCAAGCGCTACGGGCGGCGGAGCGCGGACCTTTGTGCAGACATTAAGGGCTGGCGTTGGAGGTTGGACTCTGGATGGTGGAAGATGCTTAACAGCGCTTTACATCGATGGTGTTCGGCGGGAGCGAGGCGGGGAAATGTTGTGGTCTGGTTCGTTGGCTGGGGGCGGCGTTTGTCTTTTTCTTCTTTTCCTTGCTTTCTGGGACCTTTGGCGTTTTTGCTTTTCTGTTCTTCTCCCTCTTCTTTTCCCTCCGGAGGTCTGCTCCCTTCGGCTTCGCTTTCCTGTTGACACCCTATCTGTCTGGACACCATGGCTGCGGGAAGTTTGCACCGTCATGTGCCATCTCGTACGTCGTCGGGGTAGGGGCGCAGGGAGGTGGGGTGGGGATGTAGTGCTTTTAAATTGGGTTTCTGACATTGGTCTTATTTTTCGCTTGGAAAGATTCAAGATTGATCTGATTTTGGACCTTTGCTGACTAGACCTACAGGTGCGCGTTCTAGCTTCGAGGTTGGTGTTGGGGGACGAAGGTTGATGCGGAGAGGTAGAATAATGAAATGTGTTCATTCAGTCATGCAGTTCGTTCTCTAGTGATGCTATGTACAATCGTGCCATGTTTTCACCTGCCAGATATTACCCGTGTCTATTAAACAATACATGCCGGCCCCCTAAGGCTTATTCGTCACTATCACTGTCAAATACCGGGCGCCTTCTCTGCTGCCGGCCTCCCACCTGTCTCTGCGGCGTATCATCTGGCTCGGACTCGAGCTGAGCCCTGCTTGTCGACGGCCGCTTCGTGCTGCTAAGCAGATCGTCGTCATCATCCAGCAGCGAGTCCACCGACTCCTGCGTGGGCGGAAATTGAGTCGGCACGTAGAACGGCTTTGATGTCTCTGTCCGCGTTGGAGAATCGGGGGTTGCAGTTTGGCTCGACGGTGGATTGGATGATGTCGGTCGCATACTGGACATAGGATGGTCGTCCGAGACAACGAAATCAACCAAGTCAGCTCCGTCGTCCGAACCGTCAGTATCCATCGCGTCGCTGTCCCGCAAGCAGTCATCGCCGAGTTCATCGCTGTTGATGCCACCTCGGGCTTTCTTGGTGGCTTTCTTGCCGCGCTTCTTGGCTGCTGGCTTTGGGCGGCGTCGCGGAGGGGATTCTTCCTCCTCCATGTCGTTGAGGCCATCGTCTATGAGGGCAGAGGCGGCCATGAATGACCTAGGTTTCACTGCACCTGTAGATACGCGTTTCTTGGGACGGGACTGCTCGACTACATCGTCGTCGTCGGAGAATTCTGTCACGGATTTGGTGGCTGGGGGTCCCTCATCCTCCGTATCACTTGCAAAATGCGGCACCTGGATGTTTTTGTATCGGCTGGTATCCTTCTCCCCATAAGGTTTCGTGTACCGGCTCGCAGTATCCTGCTGCTGAGAAAGCTTCTTGCAAAGCTTGACAAACTTCTTGGTCCTTGCGCCATGTTGAACCTTCTCGACTGGTCGAAGTCGTCGCTGAAGTAGCGGGTACGACGTCAAGTTCGGCATCTCAGTCTCTTCGATCTTCGTAGTGCTTGCTGGCACAGAACGGTAAATCCTATCCAGCTCAGCTAGTTGGGTATCGGTCAACACGACAGAGTTCAAAGATGGCACATCCTCAATAAAGTCTGCCTCCGTTGGCTCCGGCTGCTTCGGCGGACGACCCCTCTTAGCCCCTGCGGTTGGCTTGCCAAAATCTGATGCCTTTGTGAACCCAAGCTCGACACCGTCCGGAAGATGGAATTTCTTGGGTGGCTTCTTCTTGGCTGGGTGCCTTCGCTTCTTCGGCTCAGGCAGCGCCGGGTTCTGAGTGTTCTCGATGGGGATCTCAATGTGCTGCATGACAACTTCTGGACGAATGTCTCGAGGAATGATCCGGGCTGATAGATCATGCCTGAAGTTGAACTTGCTTCCATCGCTGATAATCTTTTGCATCTCTGCATAGTTGTCCTTGGATCTGGCAAACGCCTCTTCCTCTTTCCCCCGCATGAGGAGCAGGATGATGTTTCCCGCTCGCTTTCGTCCGGTTCGTCCCATTCGTTGCAGCATGCGGATAGGCGAGGAGGATGCATCGTAGCAGACAATCAGGTCGACTTGACCAATGTCTAGACCTTCCTCACCAATGGATGTTGCCACCAGTACATTGTACTTGCCGTGCTTGAACTTCTCAATCGTCTCAATCTGTTCGGCTTGCTTCATACCTGCTGACCTTTTGGAATCTGCCTGGCCGACAAAGACTGTGGCCTTGATGAGTGGCTTGTGACGATTCAGTACCTGGACAATATCCTCGGCGCTGTCTCTGTACTCGCTGAATACGATGACGCGAGTTGCTGAATTCCCACCATTGTCCATGAAGTGGTTCAGAATTCGGTCTTGGAGTTCGGTCAGCTTGGGATGGCTCGCAAATCCATCAATCCGAAGCCACTTCTCCATGTTCGACATCATCTCTTGGAAATGCTCACTTTCCAGGATTTGCTTCTTATATTTTGATCCTTTCGCCCCCTTTTCCTCAACCTCACTTCTGAACTCCTTGAGGTTCTCGTAGAACGGCCTCACTCCGTGAAAGTTCAGTAGTTTGATCGTGTGAGCGAGGCTTTGAAGAATGGAGAAGATGGACCGCATCATGCCTTGCAGTCCCGGGTTGGCACGTCGGCCGACATTTGCAAACCAATCCTTCTGTTGTTGCATCAAGCCATATGCCGTGATAGACATTGGGTCTCGTCCGTAGTAAATGTTTTGTTGCGTGAGTTTGTCCATGAGGGGCTTCAGGGCTTTGGTAAACAGGTCCTTGATCTCACACATCTCGTCAGACGGATCAAGCAAAACCTGCTCGACATTCCTTTGGTGTACGTATTGACGAATATCGATGGACTCCTCCGTCCGAATCTCGATGTGAGATATGCCGAGATTGTCAATAATCTCTTGCACGGTCTCAACTTTGGAGCCAGGTGTGGCTGTCAAGGCCAAGACACGGAAGTAAGGATTGAAGCGACGCATGAGCTTGACGACTTTGGCGTACGCGTACTCGCCCGTTGCACGATGCGCTTCGTCGATAACCAGAAGGACGATCGACTTGGGATCTGCATAACCATGGGACAAATCGTTGGCCAGAGTCTGGGGCGTCATGAAGAACACTCGCTTGGATTGCCACTCATCAACCCTGAGGGCCGGTGCGGTGTCGCCCGTCAGAAGCGTCGTCTCGGATCTTGCAATTCCAGCAATGTTGAAACACGCATCGACTTGCTGGGCCACCAAAGGCTTCGTAGGGGCCACGAAGACGATTTTGGCATCTTTAGTCCACCGAAAGTAGTTGAGCATGACGGTTGCAGCGATGAACGTCTTGCCGAGACCAGTGGGAAGGGCAACAAGCGTATTGTTGAAGATTCCGTTCTTGACAATGCTGAACTGGTAATCTCTCGTGGCTCCAAGGTTGGTGGGATAGAGCCAAGTTTTCATGGCTTCGCGGTCAAGGGCATGATGGGCAGGTGGTTCTTGCGGCTTGTCTCCTCTATAGACCCTACCAAAACCAGGTTGGGCTGCTTGAATTGGAGAGTCATCTGCCACTCGGCCACCGAGTAAAGTTGTCTGGCGGTAAGTTGCTGAATTTGTGCGAGTGAGCCCGTTCACCGTCCTTGGCGCTGGAGCTGCCGGCCTAGATGCAAAAGCAGGCTCTGGCGAGGAAGAAAATGCATCTGAGGGCAAATCATCAAGATCGTCGCTAGTGGACTTGTTGTTTGTTGCCCTGGAGAAGCCCTGGTCCGTAAGTTAGAACACATAGGGAGATGGAAAAGGCAGGAAACACGGTCTTACAGAAGCTGTGGATTTGGAAACAGCCCTGGAATTACTTCCGAACGACTGACGTGCTGTGTTCACCCGATTGTAAGATGGTGCCAGAGGGACAACCGAGCTCGATGGACCAGCCTGCGTCTGGCTGAGGGCCTCATAGAGGTCCTCGTCGGCGATGTCATCACCGTAGTCATCCGAATCCATATCGACTCCTTAAATACTAGCCCAGGTGAGCTGAATGATTGAGGTGGTCGGTCAATCGGTCTGGTCGTTGTCATAGAACCCCGGCAGTCTGGCGCCGACTCGAAGTTGGCGGTTGAAGCTGGCGGGGTGGCCACTAAGTGCTGGCTTCCCGATGCGCGCATGGAGACGCGTCGTTGACGCGAGCGCATATCTGAGTCACATGTATAATCACATGACCCGCGAGCTGACATAATCAAGATAAGGTTCTGCGCGCAAGAGCCACCCGGTTGTCAAGCTCCAGACCATCCATCCATTCCATGTTGTATCCGTAAGGTGGGACCAGGGACCTTTGCTGACCGAACCGTTAGGCACCTGTACGCCAGAGGCAGCAGCACCTTTGCTTTCCAATCAGAAATTTCCGTTGCTCAAGGTATACAAATCGTAACCCCCAGGTGCAAACCGCAAAAACAAATCTGCCCTTTCTGGTGTTACTTGCCTGTGATTCACCACAGACACCTGGGAAGGTCCCGGGAGAGGTACCTGTTGCCGGAGCATTCTGCTGAGACGTGGTGGCACTAAACCTTTTCCAGAGAGGTCGCATGCGACCTGAGCGTTCCTGCCTGGTGGCCTGCTACCTTGAGTGGTGGGGCTGAACTCAAACGTCACTTGCTCTTCGCGACAGACGAAATTCTTCACCACCTTTACAGCTCTGCATCACTCCTTAAAAGTCGCCCACCGCCTTATAAGACAGGGTCTTCTTGGACAGGACCGCAACCGAACCCTTCTTTCAGATTTTCTTTGTCGATTACACGAGCTTCTGCCCTCCAAAAAAAGCGTTTTCTACTTTTAACGGTCCACGAGGTCTGCGCCAGGTCCTTCGTTCTTTGTGCCCAGAAGCTTTTCGCGCAACGACCCCGACAACAGACCCTCGCTCAACGACATTGAAACGGCTGCTCTACACCAAAACGATCGCTTCACTTTCTAATTGAAAGCGCGAAAACACCCATACAACTAGCTCACCCTTATTCGGCGAGTGTTGAGCGTCACCACCTACCCCTACGCCGACCTCGACACCTACTTCCACACCAACGCCTACACCTGTCGCATCCCTACTTCCATCCTACCGAAACAAAATGGCGCCCCCTAGAGCACCGAGGGCCATGGCTTCTCAGCCTGCGCGCGAAACTCGCAGCTCTACGACGGGTGCAAAGTCGCGCGGCGGCGGCGGCATCCAAAAGCGAAGAGGCGGCAGGACAGCAACCGATAAGGACGGCGATCTCGACATGGGGAGCAGTGCTGGAGGAAGCGGCCCACGCCGAGCAAACAACAGATCATCTGCGGGTGATTCCAACAACTCGCGACCCCAAAGACCCACAAGATCTGGCGGTCCTCCCACCAAGCCGGGCTCGAAAGTGCATCAAGCCATCGCCCGCCACCTGGACACTGGAGATGGAGCGGATCTGGTATCCAAGAGGAGACCTCAGAGCACAGGTCTCGTTTGGTTGAGTGTTAAGGGTTTGAAAGAAAGCAAGGCCGCGATGAACGAGGACGGCGGCCTGCGGGACCTACTCACATTCTTGGAACGGAAATCTACGACCCTAGCTGGTCGTCGAAAGACGGTAGTCATCAAGAAGGTATGTTGTTGTGATGATGTGAGGGCTCGAGGGAATTACATAGTTATGCCAAATGGTCCAAACTCGTCGCTAACTTTCTATAGTCAAACATAAGAGGGGACATTGTCAATGTTGCAGCAAGCAAAGAGGATGCGGAGCAAATTCTCAAAGTGAACACTTTCACCTTTGCCGGAACGCCTTTGGAGATCACCGATAGCGAAGGTTCCCTCGCGGAGGCAAATAAGGCTTCGGTTGCGGCTCAAGAGACCAAACAGAAGGTCACCAACATCATGTCGCTCCGCTACGACATCGAGAACAAGCTCTTGAGACTCGACGCCCTTAACCAAGACGAGGGACTCATTCAGATGGGCATGTTGGAGTCAAAGGACAGGGCCGAGAAGCTATTCAAGGTCATGATGAGAATTTGCGATGATCTTTTCAAGACGTCGCAAGCCAAGATCGATGCCATCCACAGCATTAGTCTTGCCAACAACGGCATCGACACCGTCATTCAAGTCGAGGACCTGGCAGACACATTCCCCGACCTCATGAACCTCGACCTTAGTGGAAACCAGATTGCAACCATCGATGGCTTGTCAAGGTGGAGGGGAAAGCTCCGCAAGTTGGAGACCCTCTACTTGACTGGAAATCCGCTTCCGCTTGCAGATACCAAGGTCATGGCGGAATTGCTGCAGTTCTTTCCAAAGCTGCATAACATCAACGGCGAGCAATTGACGCCGGAACAAATCAAGCAAATCAAGGAAGCGGGACGACCTCAGCCAATCCCTCAACGCGGGCCCGATTTCCGTGATACTAACGGCATCGGCGAGGCCTTCCTCCTGGAATTCTTTGTCGGCTTTGATACCGACAGAACAGCTCTTCTCGCGAAGTACTATGACGACAATAGCCAGTTTTCATACGCCGTCGACACTCACTCACTTCGCGAGCCGAATCTGCCGCCACCGCTACCGTGGGCATCCTACATCAAGCAGTCACGCAACCTACAGAAGATTACCGGACCGGCTGCCCGAGCTGCTAGACTCTTCACTGGCAGGGAAGCTATTTGGAACGTATGGAACGAACTCCCTGCGTCAAAACACCCAGACATCAAGGCCGACATCAGCAAGTTCATCATGGATTGTCACATGCTACCTGGTCTCGCAGACCCATCTGGACAGCCTGGCGGCGGTGTCGACGGTATGATCATCTGTGTCCATGGCCAGTTCGAGGAGTGCGACAAGGACGGAAAGACGGGACTCAGGAGCTTTTCCCGCACATTTGTTCTCGGACCTGGACGACCCGGCGCGAACCCCATCCGCGTCGTTAGTGACATGTTCAGCCTGAGAGCATTCAACCCCCTTCCCAACGTCTTCGTCGCCGAGAACCAGGCACCTCCTGCCCCGGAACCGCAACAACGCCAAGCCATGATTGCGGAACTATCGAAACAGACGAACATGACTCCCCAGTATTCGGAGATGTGTCTGTCCGACGTTGCATGGGACTTTACAAGGGCTTTGGCAGTCTTCAACGAAAAGAAGGTAAGCGTGCCCGAATCTGGAATATTCGAAAACCCTATCTAACTTCGTCTAGGCCCAACTACCTGCGGAAGCCTTCGCCAGTGTTTAGAAAATGCTGTGCTCGTCTCAGTCCATTCTCCAGTACTGAAAGCGACGGAGGACAAGGTTGTATTAGGAAAGACGACGATGGGGCTCAAGTGCAACGTTGGCCCTTTGGCCCACCCCAGTTGATTATCTATTGAAGGAAGGAAGAAGGGACAGGATTTGTACTCCACACAGCGAGGAGGTAAACAGTATTGGGTAGGGGTCCTTGCGAAATGCGCAGGACTCGGGAGATCGGAAGATGCGAGGAAGCCAAATATTTACTCAAAGCGTGAGGTGGAACAGCGACCCAAAAAAAAAAAAAAAAAAAANAAAAAAAAAAAAAAAAAAAAATCACCACCAGATCGGTTTGGCAAGAATTTGGGATGGTTCCGAAGCGCAATTGTATATTCTTAAGAGCGGGACGAGAAGACGGACAGCGTCATAGCGGCAGCGGCGTGTTTTTGGTACTGGGGAGTCGGTGTTAGCATAGCGATGGCGGGTATGGGAGGAAGTGTTCAATTCAAAGTCGCAAAGTCGCATCCGCCAGTTCACGGGCTCAGTGAGGAATTTCTCAGTCTACCATATCGTGAATGTGATTAAACATGACTCAAATTGAAACGCAATGGCAGTGAGAGCAAGAATGGAGAGGAGCGTCGTGTGCGCAGACGTTCAAGCGCTAAAGCACATATTTTGATTGCTGAACGTGACGTTCCTCGGATGGACGGCAGGCTGGCTGAAGATCAGCAGAGACACGTTCATTGTAAGGCTGAAGAGCAGTAGCCATTCCCGCGGGCCAATGGGCCATGGCTTAGGTCATTTCAATGGAGATTGAATTCCAGAGGCGCGCGCGGTGTTGCGAGTTGAATGGGTGCGGATGACGCTGGGTGTTTAAATGAGGAACTGCGGTTGTGGGTGTGCAACGTCCCGTCCTCTGGCATTTTTGGGGGAGGGGGCTTTTTGGATGGGCTAATCGGATCCGAGAGGATATGTGTGTGATGGAGGCGTATGTGATATTGGGCCGAGAGTGATGGCGGCCCTTTCTTTTGATAGAATGAAGAAGATTAGATGTCGTTGATGGGCGCTTATTGTCTTGTAGATTCTGGGGTTGGGTTGCGGCGCGAAGATGCGTCACATGCGGTTGTGGTTTACTCCATCAGGTAGGTACCTACCGTTTGGCAGCAGCCACTAATTTAGTGCCGGCGGGTGCGCAGCAGCGGTGATCTTGTCTGTGGCCGTTGTGACTGGCTCGTCTTGTTTCCATGGGAGTGGTGGTGTGGTGGTGTGCTGCGTAGTCAGCAGAGTTGACGACCCGGGATTGGGCGATTTTGTTGCGTCTTTCTGGCGATTTGGAGATTTCATGCATGGTGCCGGGAGATCCCTTCCCACACCAACTTATTTGTTCTTTATTTTAAATTCTAGCGCTGGCGGCGACGGCGGCGGCGAGTTGGGGACCCCCCTCACTCCAGTGAGAGTTTATTATACTACTCGATTTAGAAAGTGGGATTACCTCAGCCTGGGTATTTTTGCGCAGGTGATTGTTGAACTGCAGGGGAGCCAGCGGTGTGCTGTGAGATGCAGATGATCGACTCTGTCAGGTCGAATGCGTTTGGATGGCCCTGCGCAGACGCAAGAAGAGCGAATCCACAGGTCTCGGGTTTTCTTTCCATGTGCTTTACTTTTTGAGAGTGGTGGTGGTGGTTGGTTGGTGCTAGCTTATTGAATCGCGCGCGCGCTGGTCTCTTTTTGCTGCTGTCTTGGCTCTTGTCTTGAGTAAAGCTCTACACCGGGCCACATCAGCCGAGAATTT